TYMAAARKWAAAAAAAAAAAAAAAAAAATTTAAAATGTATAGCTCCAGTTTCAGCATCATGGATTGAACTGCTTCTTTTTTCTTGGTACAACTCAGCTCTAACATATCTACTTAAGCTATACCCTCCTTACTTAGAAGATCAGAGGCTTTCCCCAGATAGAGATAATGAGACAGTAAAGGGTATCAAAAAGAACATAAAGGGGAATTTAGTACAATAAAATTGCCTTTTCACAGATCAAGAGGAATGACTGAAAGCGCACAAAAAGAGAAAAGGACACGTAAGGAAGTGTTAGGTACTAGTAATACACTCTCCTTTCATATGTGATTTAACTATAGATTAAAGAGTCTAAAGAATTTCCTCCTAAGGAAGTTGCTAAAACTTTTACCATAGTACATCTGAAAGTAGTTCTAAATATTTATCTACAGTACTATTAATCTGAAGGAAGCAGACACCAAAAAGAATTAATAGCAAGAAAATTATAAACCAGTAACACTTTTACAAAGAAAAGAATATATTTTCTTCCCTAAAAAAAAAATCCTGGAAAAGCAGACAATTCATTTGATTGCAAGAACAAGAAATATTAAAAAAAAAAAATCATTTTCAAAAGCAAGTCTCACCAGACATATAAGCCGATGCCTATAATCCCAGCTACTAGGGAGGCCGATTCAGAAGGACTACAAACTCAAGGCCAGTCTCAGTAATTTAGTGAGATCTTGTTTCAAAGTAAAAAAATAAAAAGGGCTGAGGATGTAGCTCAGTGGTAGTGTGCTCCTGGTACTGGGGCTCAATACCCAGTACCAATAACAAAAGAGTAAAGTATGAAATGTTACCTTTAATTTTAACCTGGTTCTCCCTTCTTCATCCAGCATTTCCTCATCTTCAAATTCATCTTCATAATACTGAGGATCAAAAGGTCTAAAAATTGTTTTTTAATGTAAACTATTAATCATATTTTATAAAGAATATTACTGTTGTATATAATGTTATTACTGTTATATATAATGTTATTACTGTTATATATAATATATATATATATATTAATATACACCATTATACCCCAAAAAATCAAAATAAAATTTCAAAAATTATAATGGTCAAATGACTCCATGCTCAACTTCAAGGAAGTTTTCAAATTACCATAACTTCTTAAAATTTGGAGTTAATATATATTATTTGAAATAAAGTAAAAGTAGGTTAAATGTTCAAAATATTTTTTATTCTTATGGAAATCTTCCAAAGAATAGGCCATGCTACTCTAACTTTCCACATCATTTTGCTTAGGGGAAAAAACATTTAAATCACACAAGAACTCGACAGTTAACTAAGATTACCTATTAGTAATGTTCAACTGTCCCTAACTATTATTAGCTTTTCTGTATAAACAATAGCTAATACAGTGGACATTTGTAGTTTCTCTAGCAAATTTCATCACCCTCAATTTCAGTTTTTTTAGGGCTCACAAATTTTAAAGTGTCTTGAGTTTTGATGTCTATTAATTCATAAGCAAATTAAAATGTTAAATAATCACAAGCATCAAAAGTCTTCCTTATTAGTAATCCATAATTTTTCTACATCAGGATGTTTGATTTGTTTTTCTCTGAGATATACAACCAGTTTTCCATTTCTATCATTGGCCAACTCAATGTATAATGAGAAAAATATCAACACTCCACATATTGCTATTCAACATCCAGAAAAAAAATTTAATTAATTCCCTTACCTGGGCTCTACACTGAGAAAGTTGGGCAGTTTAACAAAATATAAGTCATTTCCTAAATCAGTGTTTACTTTGGGTATTTCTACTTCTATTCTGGTCTCAGGAATTGGTTCCTCCTCCTGTTGATCCTGAGGCAATCCATTTTCATCCTAGAGAAAGAGTCATAGAATTTTAGAGCTTTCGGAGACCTTATTGACTCCCTAGTTGTCCTTCACACTTTATTCAGGTAAGCAAGAAACATTTTTGGATATCACTTTAGGGCAAAAGCAGTCCTAAGGGCTGGGAATATAGCTCAGTTGGTACAGTGCTTGCCTTGTATGCACAAGGCCCTAGGTTTGATCTCCAGCACCATTTAAAAAAAAAAAAAAAAGCAGTCCTAAATCTCTATCCCTATTCAATTACCCCCAAAACACCTTAGGGGAAAGAAAGCCATCAGTACAAGAAAAAATATTTCATTTATGAAAAATTTATCTTCCAAATAATCATAAACAAAGTATAGCCAGGGGCATAGTTCAGTGGGAGAGTGCTTGCCTGGCATGAGTGAAGCCTTGGATTCAATCCTCAGTTCCAGCCAAAAAAATTTTTAAAACCAGTATGAAAGTAATTATTACTTCAATATGAAGTCACTCTAGTAATCAAAGTCAAAGATACAGCATACATTTCTTTGCATGAGCAAGAAAAACAAAAGTCAGTGGTTCTCAGGTCACAGATCCAAACAAGACTTGCCCCCTAAGGCAAAGCACCACCTCATGTTGGTTGGTTATTTTTACTCCTCCTTAGAATCAAGAATTTCCTACATAACTTAAAAAACTCATTTATTTATCTTATTTTCCTACTACAATTCATTTATCAACTTCCTCTTCCTGGAGTAAGAGAGACCCTTCATCTGAATTTTTTGTTACTTGTTTGTTTACTGGCAGTGCTGAGGATCAAACCTACAGGCATGCATGCTAGGCAAGCACTCTACTGCTGAACTACACCTCAGCCCACTTCTGAAACTTTTTCTTAATCTTAAATAAGGGGCTCAGCTCACATTAATCATTTTACTTACCACAGGTTGTCCTGGAGTAGGTGGTTTATCTTCTCCATCACTCCCTGAAGATATATCATCTGCACCTCCAAATAGATCCATGGTTCCACTATTATCTTCAATGCAGAAAAAAATTTACAAAATTAATATCTATAACTAAGATTTTTCAAAGCTGATCACTTTAACATATCCCCAAGGTTTTTAAACTAGCACCAGAAAATCACCCAAAACACAACTCTGATACTAGCTTTCAAAGATCTGACTAGCCTATGTGTGGGGAGGGAAGGCAAAGCGGCATAAGAGACATTTCTTTTTCCTTCTATTTTCTGCATACTTATTTATCCACTTTTCCTTAACTCTTCTAGGACATCTAATGTTTCTTCTTGTCTAGTTGGAGCTTAAGCACTCTGTATAAGCCTGTTGTCTATACAAGTCCCTCAAGTTTCAAAATTGTATTTTCATATCTGCAGGACCCATCTTCACAAGAACATTATCTAGGTGCAGGCAAAAAACAATGAATGATAAATCATATAAACCAATCAACAAAGGTGGGCCAGAAAGCAGACTACTTGAAATTGAGATTCTAGAAGTTACACTTTTTAACAATGACATGGTCTAGGACATGGTTATTGAAAAAGGAGAAGCACATGGAAGGCCAGGATATCGATGGTTCATCTATATGATAAAATCAGCAAAATTAAATTCTATTCACCCATTCTTATGCAGTTAAAGGGAAAAATAGGTATGGAAATACACATACAAAAGAAATAATTAGGAGTACCTTTTGGCACCTCAGTGTCACTATCCGCTTCTGAATCAGATGCAATTGCATTCTTGCGTTTCATCCGTAACACCTCATCTTCACTGTCACTGCCTCTTGCTGATTCTAAAAGAGTATAATTAGAAATTTTGCATAATCCCAACTGCATCATAACTTTGAATTTTGTTCTAAAAGTAACATTGGAAATATACAAATTGTGGTACATCCACAAAATGAAACACAATTTAGCAATACATAAGAACTATTGAGGCTGGGTACAATGGTGCATGCCTGTAATCCCAGCAGCTCAGGAGGCAGAGGCAGGAGGATCATAAGTTCAAAGCCAGCCTCAGCAATTTAGGAAGACACTAAGCAACTCAGAGAGACTCTGTCTCTAAATGAAATGCAAAATAGGACTGGGGATGTGGCTCAGTGGTGGAGTGTCCCTGACTTCAATCCCTGGTCTTATCCCCCACCCCCATACCACCACCACCACCACCACCCGCCAAAAAAAAAAAAAAAGAAGAAGAAAAAGAAGAAATATTGATATACTTAACAATTTGGCTAAATCTCAAATGCATTTTAGTGAAAGAAGCTAATATAAAAAGGTTACAAACTCACTGTCTGATTCTACTTATACAGCTTTCTCTGAGACAAAAATATAGTGAAA